ACCTTGAGAAGTTCTTGAAGGACTACAGTGCAGATCAGCAGACTGAAAACATCATATTTCAGGACTGTGGGGGTAAGTCTTGGTTATTTCCTGCAGCTGAGGGTTCTGACCAGTGTCTCTGTGTCAGGTCTGTCACAAGCGAGGGTGAGCAGTGGCGGGTGCTGTGTTTTCTTGTAGCCAGTGGCATGTTGGTAAGCTGGCAGGCTCTGGTTTCGCTCATATGGCTGCTCCTTAAATGGTGGGTTTGCACAGACCAGACTTGGCCAGGGATGTACCTAAGCTTGTTGCAGAGGTTACATGGTTGGGAACTCCCGCATTTCACTCCGAGGAGGTTACAGCTGACTCTATAAAGCTTATGGTGCTGACCTTACCATCTCTGAAAGCCAGGGGGGTTTACTGGTGACTTTGCTAAAGCCAGTGTCAGTCCTCCTACTGCAATGCAGCAAAACATCTGGGAGGTATTAACCTTTAATAGATTGTATCTAATGATGCAGAACAAGACTCACTTCTTAATGTGTGCATGTAAAATCTGAGGAGAACGCAGTTGTAAAAGCTGCCCAAAACTAAAATATCAGAGCCGGTGGATTAAATATGTGTTTGTTCTCTTCTACTCGGTAAGAATCCTCAGTTTAAAACCCCAAACTCCTGCAAACTTGCTGGTCTGGGAGCAGACCACACGTGGGGGGTGGCTGGGTGCAGGTCTGTGGTGTCACTTACCTGTTTGGACAAGGCGGAGAGCCTGCCTACGCAGTGCAGTGTAAGTGTTGCTGTTCCTGACGAGCAAAAGGCCACGTTGCATACGGTTGTCTTTTCATTCCCCTGTCACGACAGACATCCCTACTGACTACAAGGAGAGAGGACCATATAATGACGCCCAAGGCCAGAAGAAAGTCTGCAAGTTCAAGCGTGAATGGCTGGAAAACTGTTCTGGAATAAATGATCCCTCCTTTGGGTACAGGGATGGCAAACCATGCATCCTTGTCAAGCTCAACAGAATTATTGGCTTCAAACCTAAGGCAAGTATCTCTTCCCTTTCCAGCTGAAGCTGCTCAGAAGGAGGAGGAGTTGGCTGCAGATTTGCTGTGCCTGCTTTTCTGTCTGGAGGGAGATCAGTCTTAAACCCCTTCTGCAGAGGAGAAATTGTGAGATGATTTGAGTAACTGGCTTTAAAAATACTTGCCATTAAAATGCAACAAAAACTGCACACCACCAAGTTGGTAACAAGTAGCAATGAACCTCACAGTGCAAAGTCCTGGTTGTTTTTCTGATAGCTTCTGAGCCTGCTAACCAAATTGCTCTAATGGGGAATTTTCTTAAAATGATGAAACCCATTTTAAGTTCCTGTGTGCTTCTATAGGACTCCCAGGCTGACTCTGTCTGCAATAAGATCAGGACATTGTGTCATGCCCCAGTCTACTCCATTCTTGCCTCAGGCAGTGTAGAGTTGCCTGCTTTGCAAAAACCACTTAATTAAATGAAGTCATGCTAGTGTTCACTATCAGACTGATACGCAGTCTATAAAGTGTAAACTATGTCTGAGAGTCAGACACAGCTCTTGCTGCAAGAAAGGTCAGGACATCTTTAGGTGATTGAATGCAGTTTCCCAGATGTCTCTGTCACCTGCTTGCTTTGTGCTGCACCTGAAGGATGTTAGTCTGGACAGGAGTGGCTTTTACTTCTAGTTGCTTCTCCAGCACATTTAAATGCTAAAAACTTCCCTAAGAATTCAGTGGCAGAGCATATGTTATTGAACAAGGTGATGTGCAAAACCTGCACTCCTCCCTCTGGATGGGAAGCAGTGCAAATGAGATGCTAAACCCCCTTCACCTCCATTCGTCGCTGTGCTCATGGACAAGGAATGGGGTCTGTCCAGCTAATGTGTTTGGAGCAATGTTTTTCTTCAAAAGCAGCCTACTGTGTGCTAAAAGAAATCAGTTGAATTTTGGCTCATCTGATCCACAACAGTGGGTGCGTTTTGCAGGAGTGTGCTGTGCTCGGTATGCAGTGGTTTTGGAATGACGTAAGCTGCGTGTTTGGTGACTGGGGAAGAGAAGGGTTTGGTGTGCTCCTCTCTCCTTTGCCACAGAGCTCTGAAGAGCTCAAGACTGCCCTAGACAGCAGGGTCAAGGAATGGCTGCACACATTTCCTTCAGAAATATGTATCCTAGGCAACATTTGTGTCCCTCAGTCCGCCCTCCAGCACAGACTCTGTAGCGCTTGGGTTGAGCAAGATGTGTGTGGAGCACTTCTGAGACCTGCAAGGCTGGGAAGCGAAGCCTGCCACACTTGTTAAGAGGCCAGCATCAGAGCTGGCACTCCCACCTTTCCCTGATACACTCAGGGCCTTTGTCCTTCCCTGCAGGACGTGTTGAAGTTTGGCAAGGTTGGGGTGCGACTGCCGCTCCTTGTTTTCCTTCTTGTGTGTTTCCAGTCCTTGCTGTGCTCCCTGGCCGGGCAGGCAGCAAATCCTCCAGCAGCGCATCTCTGCCTGGTGCTGCCTGGGCTTTGCATAGACAAGTCCCACCGGCTGGCGCTCTGCAGCGACACCACGAAAGGGAAAATAACCTGATCTGCTTGCTTTGGTAGCCACAGCAGTGAAGCGGTGAGAACCGGCAACAGCTCAGCACGGGTTAAGAACCCCAGCTTCTGGTTGTGTTATGCTGTGAGTTTGGCCCAAGAGTCACCACCAAGAGCTGTTGGCTCTGAAACTGAGCTAGGAGGGAGCCTGGTTACTGGCATGTGTTTCGTACCATTGAGTTTTGCTGCTGCAAAGGTGCTGCAGCCTGTGGAGAAGTGTGCAGTGTGTAACGTGCCCTTGTTTTGGGTTTCTTCCAGGCTCCGGTAAATGAGAGCCTTCCTCCAGAGGTTATGGCAAAATACAACCCCTATCTCATCCCTGTTCACTGCGTTGCCAAGGTAAGCTGAAACACAAGAGAGCAGAGTCAGGAAGCTGCAGGGGAAGGGGCCCTAAGTCTTTGTCCGAGCGTAGCGAACCCTCTCTGCAGACAACTGCAGTGGTTCTTACTTGGCTATCTCCCCTTTCAGAACAGGAGTTTCTCAAGAGCCTGTTGGTGACAAATGACAGCACTGCCCTCATAGGGAGGGGTAAAAGCAGGGCCAGATAGCAAAGAGTACCCTCAAAACCAGCCATTTTGCTTCCAAGTACTGTTCCAGAGCTCCTAGAGGGGGTGGCTCAAAAAACGACTTTAGGGAAGAGGTATTTTACTTGGCATTGTAAAGCAGCTAAGAAAGGGCAAGCCTTTTTTTTAAATTTTATTTTTATTAACCAAAGGCAGTGCACTGGTATGACAGGAAGCTGTGGTGGCTTCTGAGTGTGTCAAGAAGTGGTTGAGCTTTTAAATAAAGCAGAGCTGTTTTCCTGGCAGATGTGTGCTGGGAGGTGCTGCTTGTGTAGCTGCTGGGTAGACAGTATTGAAGGGCCCTTTGCCACCATCAGGACCCTCCTCGTGCTGTTGAGGAAAGTCAGCGATCACCAAAGAGAGGTCAGGGTCTTGATGCTAAACAGATGCTGCTAGGGCAGAGGGCTGCAAAAGGTGGAGTTTGGGTGACTGTCATCGTTTGCTTTTCCTTGTGCTGCCTCCCTAGAGAGACGAAGATGTAGACAAGATCGGCACAGTGGAGTACTATGGGATGGGTGGCTACCCTGGCTTTGCCCTGCAGTACTACCCCTACTACGGGAAGCTGCTGCAGCCGCGGTACCTGCAGCCGCTGGTGGCGGTGCAGTTCACCAACCTGACCTATGACGTGGAGGTGCGTGTGGAGTGCAGGGCCTATGGGCAGAACATCGTCTACAGTGACAAAGACCGCTTCCAGGGACGCTTTGATATTAAATTTGACATAAAAAGCAGCTGATTGTAAGCACAACTCTCTCCCCTCCCCTCCTCCTAGCCATTAAAAAAGGTTAAAAAAAAAAAAAGAACAAAAAAGAAAACCTACTAGTCTTGAACAAACTGTCATACGTATGGGACCTACACGTAATCTATATGCTTTACACTAGCTTTCTGCATTTACTAGGTTAGAATGTAAACAAAGTGTAGCAATAGCGACAAATATTTATTCTACTGTAAATGACAAAAGAAAAGAAAATTGAGCCTTGGGACATGCCCATTTTTACTGTAAATTATGATTCCATAACTGACTTGTAGTAAGCAGTGTTTCTGGCCCCTAAGTATTGCTGCCTTGTGTATTTTATTTAGTGTACAGTACTATAGGTGCATACTCTGGTCATTTTTCAAGCCATGTATTGTATCTGTTTTCTACTTCTTGTGAGCAAAGACTTTTGCTGTCCAAGGTGTAAATACTCAATGGGACTAGAACTGGCATGATACTTCTCATTATTTTGTTCCTTTTCAAAGAAAGGCCCACCTGTGAGACTCTATTTAACAGCACTCCATACAGCTTCTGACTTTTCTGTGGTGTTAGGGTATTTTATTTGGAGGGGTGGCAGGGGAACCTAAGTTAAATGAAGTTGAAGAGAATAGATGATTGTGTACTGTGCTTTGTAGCGAATGCTCTCTCCACCTTTTCCCTCATCCTCCGGTATGTTGTGTGAGAGACTGGGTCAGACTATCACTCTCCCCAGTGATAGGCATAACTCTTTGCTTTGTATATTTTCTTTTTTTTTTCTTTCTTTTATTTTCAATTTTTTTTCCTGCTGGAGGCATCGCACACTGTGGTGCTAATGTCTTTATTGAATGTTTTGACCATTTTCATGGTGGAAGAATTTTATATTTATGCAGTTGTACAATTTTATTTTTTCTGCAAGAAAGTGTAATGTATGAAATAAACCAAAGTCACATGTTTGAAAATAAATCTTTATTTTAAACTTTATAAAAGCAATGCAGTACCCCATAGAATGGTGTTAAATGTTGTCTAAAGTGCAAAACTCTATGTTCTCTCATGTAACAATAGCCAGGAGTACAGTGCTCTTGTTGGTCATGTATTTCAGTCAGGCTGAAACATTGGACAAATAAATGAATGAACACACTCCTGTGTGCATGTCTCTTGCCTTGGGCGAGGATGGAGGCTCTCAGTTGTCCAGAATCTTGAAGAAGTACTGCACCTGTTGTGAACAGAAAATACATCTTGGACATGCTGAGAAGGGCAGAGCTGCTGCAAGCTGCAGTGTGCATCCAGAGCACCTTCAATTGCTGTGCTCACCTCTGAGCGCCTGAGTTATGCAGGAGTTCAGGAGCAGAGGGGTTGGGTGGTGGTTGGTTCCCCCTCCCTGAGCAGTAGATGTGCCAAGAGGCCACTGTGACACACACACCGGTCATTGCACCATTCAGGAATCCAAAAAAGTCTTCCATGTATTCCCATGGTGTGTTCCCCTCTGCAGGGGCAGCCCATTCCAGCAGTAACTACAGGTAAAAATGGTTTATCCCTAGTGTGGATTAAAGCGTCTGCCAGCGGGCTGAGTTACAGGTCAGGGGCCAGGGGAGGGGTGCAAACCCAGGTCATTCATAGCAGAAACAGTTTCACGGCACCACCTTGTGTGTGGCTGCTGGGCCAGGGCTCAGCGCTCAGACGTGACGCGGTGTGGCAGCTGGCTTCCTGCGGCAGCCAGGAGCACTCGATGCTGCGCGGCACCGGTTACGAGCGAGAATTTGTGTGAAGTGACAAAACACAGCTGTCCTAGAGCAAGCTGCTTGATAAAGCCTTCCTCGTCGGAACACATGGTGCTAGAAAAGCCACGCTGCTGAGCTTTCTGCCATCTGCTAGGAGGACCAGCGCAGTGACGGTACGCTGTGGTGCTGGGCGCGCACATTGGGCTGTTTTATGCTGCTGCCACGGAGCTTGTGGAACTCTCGCCTTCAACTGCTTTACTGCTGTGTGTTTATAGCCAGGCAAGGATTTAACAAAGATGCTGTGATTAAAGCGCTGAAATATGCCCTGAAGGAAGCACCACCTGCACAAGAGCTACAGGAAAGGGAGTCATTTTGCCCCCAGCAATGACTGCCACCATTGCAGGGGAGGGGGGTGTGGCTCAAGGTTTGGTAGGATCAGCTTGCCCCCACAGTTCAATTCTCAGGTGCTTGGCCTGGGGTAGTAAAAAAAAAGAAAAAGGCCAAAAAAAACCCAAACCCAATCCCTTCAAACCACCAACAAAAACCCAAAACACCCTGAACTACTGCATCATTTACCAAAGACCCAACTCATGGTTAGATAATTTATCTCCTTTTATTTTACCATATAAGCTCAAAGTCCAAGCATGAAGCGGTAATAAAGATAATGGCTTATTCCAGGGGTGGGGTAAACTGTAGGAAACATGGTGCCTGTGCTGCCTTCTGTCAGCAAGTGCCAAAAGGCCTCATAAAAGACCTCGTATAACTTAGTCTTAGTAATGGCACATGAAATAAAGCAAAACCAAACCTTTAACACCCCAACACCCCCCCCCCATTACTTTCTAGTATATCAGTGAAAGCAGGATGGCCCATCCTGGCCACTGACCCCGGCCATGCACCTTGCACCCACTCAACTATTCACAGGTCTCATGACACCTCTGGTACACATGTGTCAGGCCCCTCCCTGTCCCCAAAAAAGATGCTGCTCGCCTTGCTGTGCCAAGTGGCTGCTCAAAAGCCCTGAAGTGATGGGGGAGCAGGGGAAGGTGGTCAAGCTGTGACATCTCAGCAACCCAATTTAAAATTTGCATTGCTTGCAAGATTAATTTTTTCTTTTAAAATCTGTGCTGTGTTGCCTATGTAAAATCTATTCTCCTTCTCTACGGAAGGCAGCACTTTCCTTACTGCCTAACAGGACATTACACTATAAACTGCCGGTTTGAACATGTTGTTCTTTCTGCCAGATTGGCTCAACATAGTTAAGTATAATTGCAGCCATTAAAGTGGATTTTATCGCCCTTCTTGTTGATATAGGACACCTGCATTTCAAGGTTAGAGAAACACACAAAAATACTAATAAAAAAAAAAGCAAAGAGAGAGAGAGAGAAAAAACACACACACACACACACACACACACACACACGCTTAAGAACAAGAACCTTTCAGGCCATGTCTGCATGAGCACTTGCACCAGCACACATCAGGTACCGGCTTTACAGCTCTGAGCTTTGGCACTTCTGGGCTTGTGTTCCCAGTCTGGCCGAGGGCGGCTGGGGGGCACAGGCCCGGCACGACCCTCAGTGTGCACCGGGAGCTGTGCCAAGAGCAAAAATAAAAGGCCACGGGCAGTGGGGTCTGCTCCTTTGCGGGTCACAGGCCTGGGTCCAGCCCCAGGCCGGGGCACAGAGACGCCGCCACCACCACAGGCCCCATTGCCCTGAGATGGGGCAGGTTCGGGAGAGCCGCATCAGCTGCCACCACTTCCTGCGCTGCCCCGGCCAGGGCTGCGTGGCCTCCCCGGGTCAGGCAATGAGCTGCTCTGCAGCACACACTGGTGCAGGTGAACGCTGCCCTCTCCCAGCTCTTGCTCGCTTGCTATTAGCAACAAAAGGCATAGCGTTATTTTAGTCCTTAAAAGCCCCTGGTTTTCTGCAGCCAGTTTTCCCAGGCCAGGTTGAACAACCTCAGCTTACTCACAACTCACAACCTACGGAAAACTTCTTGCTCCTCGAGTAACTTTTACTGGACTGTTGAAAATCCACACAGGCTGTAGTGGCAAGGCTCGGCCATCAGAACAAGCACACGATGTATTGTATGATGTCCAGAGCTAGGCGCCGGTATGTTCTCTTTATATATAATTATCATCTTTATGTGGGTCAGCTGCCACCCAGCTTCCAGTAAAACCAGTTAGGAGCTGCCATGTCTGTGGTACACAGAAAGGATCCTGCCCTCCAAGAACCTCACCCTTGGGAGCACAGCAGCGCTGGACAAGCAGCACCAGAAACAAGGCCCATCCGTCACCCCACTCACTGGAGACAGCTTGAAGAACCTCACTCTAAAGACCCTACTCCAAGGGGATCCAGGACTTGGAGGTACTTGCACTGAGCATCTAGATGGGGGTCAGGTATTCCAAAGCACTCTGTATGTTAGGAAATACAGTTCCTCTCTGTCCCAGGGCCCAAGTGCAGTATAAAACACAAAAAGGGAGCTGTGCCCGTACAAAACACCTCAACAAGACACACATTTGATCTAGGGCAAAGTCAGCTTCTCTGAACCAAGCACACCTCTGGTCTCTTTACAGGACCCAAAGGTGGCAGAGGTTGAACCCACACCAGGAACTGATCTGAAACAACCAAATGCATTTCACAGGTGCCACCCAAACACCCTTCAGATGATGCTAACATTCGGGTGTGCTCACTCCTTCCCAGGGAGGAAAGAGGATCAAATTCAACATCCGTACTCTCCTCACAGATCTTAGGAACCATCTCCCTGCTTTACAGCATGCAGCTACGCCTGCTCTAGCTCCTGTCCAGGAACAAACTGTTGTATTATTAATGCTCAGGAAGCAATAACAGGTGAGTGTGACCTTCTGGCTCTGACCTATAAACTGTTTTGCCAAGGAGCAGCTGAGAGTTGCTTCAGCTCCACGCAGCTCTGCTTCAGTCACACACGCTCTCTGCAAAACTTGCGCTCATGAAGTTGGATGAAAGGTTTTTTCATCCCTGCATTCATTCAGAGCCTGTCAGTCATGGAATCACAGAATCATAGGATGTGTTGGGTTGGAAGGGACCTTTAAAGGTCATCTGGTCCAACCTCTCTGCAGTGAGCAGGGACATCTTTAACTAGTGATCCTTGGAGCCCCATCAAGCCTGACCTTGAATGTCTCCAGGGATGGGGCCTTTACGACCTCTCTGGGCAACCTGTTCCAGTGATCTGTCACCTTCATTTTGAAAAACTTTTTCCTAATATCCAACCTAAATCTACCCTTTCTAGTTTAAAACCATTACCCCTCGTTCTATTACTACGTGCCCTTTGAAAAAGTCCCTCCCCAGCTTTCCTGTAGGCCCCCCCCAGGTACTGGAAGGCCGCAATAAGGTCCCTCTGGAGCCTTCTCTTCTCCAGGCTGAACAGCCCCAGCTCTCTCAGCCTGTCTTCATGGGAGAGGTGCTCCCGTCATCCCAGTGCCTTTCATGCAGCTGGGCAGACACTCTCCAGCACCCTCACCTCAAATCCACTACTCTCCTCAGTTCAGTGTAGATCCAGGCACATGATCCAGAGAGTCTTTGCTGGCCAAAAGTTTCAGCAACAGTAGACTTTCCCTAAACACTTAGGTCTTACAATTTTTTACAGGTTATCTCCGTTTGAGGTCATTAGTAGGAGCCAAAAATCTCTCTTTGCCCATTGATGTTGGTTTGTACATTACACTGCATTTGTACATTAGCATGAACCTGCCAACTCTGTTAGCAAGTAGAACTGCCAACATCTAAAATGCATTTCAGCTACAGTTTGCTCACCCAACTCACGTGACTAAACCATTAGACTAACACACCAAAAAGCCCATGGATTCATGCCATCCTTCCAGCCACAAGCAATCCTCAAAGAAGAGGCTCTATTTCTCACTGCATTACTTGTTCTGAAAATACAGAATTCTTTTCCCATGTGAACCTGAAGAGGGTTTAGTCCCAGGAAGAAAAAAGAAGGGAAGTTACTCACTCCTGCCTGTCTCTCAAGCGTCACGCACTTTAAGAAATGAAGCCGGTCAGGCAGCCCAAGGCAGAACAATTTGTACACATGCACTTCAACTGTCCAAGTTAATGTCTTAAGTACAGCTGGGATAAAAATCTCTATGCACCAAAAAAGAAAACTTTGTAAAGGAAGGTTTTACTAAAGAACACTACAGGATAACATAGAGCATATTCTGCTTTTATGCCATGTGCTGTTAAGACAGTCACCTCGAACATTGCATATGGTTATGATCAGCTCTGAAAATGCAGTGAAAAAGAAGGGAAATGGAAGCGATTTGGAAATTGTTCCATAAAATAAAAGATTTGAGAAATTCGAATTCCAGACAGGATGTAAATGGGAGGACAAGACGAGAATTTCTTACACCACAATCAAAACACCAAAAAAGTGGATTTTATGCTATTTACACCACAAGAAAAATAAGTGAAACACAAAACTTCTTTACAATAACAAAGTGTTGTTTTTACATCATACA